CTTTCTTGTGTCTTCATGCGTAGCTTCACACACCCACTCATTTTCACTATAATTTAATGTTGACTATATATAGGGAGCCCTCTGGGAATTGGTTTAATTGTTTTTCCCCAACATGTCTCCAAGTCCTCTCTTATCGCTACACTAGCGTTTCTTTTGATGCTCAACTATCAGAGAAGCAGCATTGGTTAGATGTCTTTGGGCTTATTGTCGGCATGAAAGCTTTTTGATTCCTTGTTAGCATGTGTGTGTTGGAGAGTGTTTTGCAGCTGGAGTGTAAGTCACTATTTTGGTCCAGATGGAGATGGACTGGAGTTCCATGACATTTGGCACAGATAACGATAGTGAGCCCTCAAAAACTTGTGTGTTCCTTTCAGCACCGACGGCTGTTTGAATTTGAAAAACAATTCTTAGCTTGGACATTCACGTTTTCCAAAAGCTGAATCCTAAATGTCCAACTTTAGTGATCGAAATCACCTGTCGCCTCAGCTTCAGGTCAAAGGTTGGTTAATGACCACATACCTGCGGTCCCATCGGCATCTGTGTGTATGACGACGTCGGTGAGTTTCGCCTGCACAGAAGTGGCTTTTCCATCTTCTTTTTCTTCTTGGGCCTAATTTTGCGACATTTCCACTACGACGATATCAGTATCAGTCAGACGCCATCGAGCACCCCGCCCTTTCCTCTCGAACTCAAACCACCTTCCCCCCGCTGGCGCTCACCCTATTTTACCAACACGAGGGATGGTTACGTCAGAACATGTGTAGAGCAAGTGCTCCTTTCTGGGTTGCCCGAAGCCCTTCTGGCTCCCTGCGGGTTTAGGTTGATATTCTCTGTGACGTACGGCTCCAACTCGGACGCTTCGGTGCTCGAGGATGGCCACATGTGCCCAATCGACCACAGGGTCAACGTTTTAAACACATTACTAGTCTTCACCCGCCCGTCGGCGCGGCGTCGCGGGGAGGCTTGTATCCGTGTGGGCGCCTCAGTGGGCCATTTTGTGTGTAGATGTCAAACAAGGAGGAAAGAAAATTGGCCGTTCCAGTTTAGTGGCGGGAAAGTGGGGCGATCTGTTCTTTGGAAGTTTCCCAGTGAAATTTCCTGGGGACCGAGACACCGAGAAGATCTATCTTTGTACACGCACTGTCCTACATACTGTAGAAGAGAGGGCGAAGCGGGGAGGGAGAGATAGCGCAGGAGATGGAAATGGGAGCTGTTGGGAAGAGATAAAAAAGGAGCGAGGGAGGGAGGTTGAATGTCAAGATGCTGGTGCGATATCAGTCTTTTGTTGGCATCACGCAGAAAGACGGATGGACGCTCAGCAGAACCAGGCCAAGACTCGACCAAGACTCACACCAGAGAGTCACCTCATTTTCTCTCACTTCTGTGGCATGAAAACCCCACAAGTAGAAGAGGAAATCACAGGAAAGTGTTGGATGATTGTCTATATGATTATTGTGGATTACATTAATACCTGGCAAATGTGTCTTGAAATAACAAACAGGCTTTGAATCCATCTTTCCTTTGCCAAGACGCAGATTTGTTCAACATGTCCCCTCTCCCTGTGAGCTTTCCATCTTTTTAAACAGATGTTAAATAGCTCCTCTCTCCCCCCATGCTTGAATATCTTAGCATTTCCTTTCTGAGTGTGTTACCACCTAAATCACCAGCCCACCTGTTACATTTGTTGATTTGAGTGTATATTGGGTACGTTACAGTAGAACAATTCACACCAGAATGAATATGATCAGCAAGCATACCAATTGTGACATATATGGGAAACCTGTCAAACATGTGATTTATTACAGCCAACAGATCAATAATGAATCACCAATAAAATCAATTGTCACGTGCTGTAAAAAAACTACCAGTAGAAGATTAAGATTCAGCAAAACGTTTGCATAAACGCATCATAAAAAGCAAGAATAGCCTTTGGGTCAACAACAAACAACTGATGTCAATCAAGTGAATTTATAATAAATGTGCCAAAGCAGGAGCTCGCAGTGCAACACAACGGTGCGAGTGAAATTAAAGGTTGTCTGAGGAGCCGTATAGTTTAGCACTCACACCCAGTTCACCCTGTTCTCATCTAAAGGAATAGTGTTACGAAGCTTACAGTCATGGACGGAATAAAAGAGTCAGTTAAATACGTTTTTAAATAACCGTACTGTCATAAATCAACAGAAAATATATTGATCTTATGGGTCTCTACTACTGTGCAAGATGGACAAACTGAATACATAATCTCATGGCAGAGATAATATCAGAATTCCTGATACCTCCCGTTGGACCTCGTCCTGTTGAGTTTCTTATTTGAAACCTGCCACCGTTCTTCAACTACTCGTGGAGTAAGCGTCTCTAATTTCTCGGGCAAGTGAGGGTGAAAGTAATAATGATATGACCTGAAACTGAAACAGCCTCCCGAGGCCACAGATTTAAACCAGAGATAAAGAGTGTGAGATGATTATTGATGGCATTGGGAGACGATCTAATCGCTCCGTCGCCCTCTTCATCTTCACAAAGTCACGCACCCGTGATCTCATGCGCTCTGAGCATTCACTGCGACGGCCTTTACCTTTTCTCTCAGGCACTAATTATCACGTTCTCTCTCATCATTTCCCATCAGCCACTGGCTGTTCAAGGTGTTATAATGAACCGCTCGTTTAACATTACAATTTAAATATAGATAATTCTGTTACTATTTTGGGAACTTGATTTCTAGGAGACAGTGCTGGTGCTTCCCATCGTGAAACCACTAATATTCATCTTTTCCCTCTCTAATCACACCCTTCTTACGCCACGTCCTCTCACCTGTCCTTCCTTTCTAGCTTATCTTCGATTACTCAGCATTATGCAAAAATATAGATTGTTCACTTCCGTTTATTATCATATCTGCTCTGGTACCTCCACGTTGCTCCTTCCTCCCGCTCCTCACTGTCTTTGTCTTTGTGCCCTTGTCGCTTTTATTCATAATTTCCATTCAAAAAGGTGGTTTCCAGCCCTCTTTTCCTCCCTCTTTTCCAAATATTCCTCCTCTATTTTTCTCATCTTTTGTTAATTCCATTCCAGCCCTCCTCTCAATCCTCAGAAGTCCTCGTTAATTTACATTCAGGGGAGGCTTTTAAACCATTAACATAAGTTCAGTGATTCATGTCCTTGGATGTCAACTCTCCTCTCAGCTTCTTGTCTAGAGGTGCAACACAGTGCGATTGTCTGTTGATCGTCTACAGTTTGTCTGCCGTCTCTTTCCTTTTTTCGCCGGCTAATAAGCTTTCTGAAGTCGGAGGCCGAATCGCTGCCAGAGAGTCGGTAATTGTCACAACCAGTTGTGCACCCGGTGTGTGTTTGTGCGCGAAGTGGAGGGATGGAAAGTCCGAGAGAGGCGTCACATAAATGATTCCCGGCGGTTGCGTCAAAGAGACTTGTAACAATCTCCCTCCCCCGGTGACGCGCTCTTATTTTTCAAGCAGGATAAGATGTGAAAGATAAAAGGGAGACTCCTTGCCACATGCCAGGTCTCGTTGTCCGGCCTTATCTTTTCATTTTCTTGCAGGGCTTCTTCATTCCTCATTCTCCCTTCCTCTGTCTTGCACAGCCGGTGGTTTTCATCTCATGAGGACTGTGAAGGATCTGAGCCTCAGCAAATCACAACCACGAATCAAGTCCATCGCCACAAAACAGGCGTCTAACTAAATTTAGAGGCATGGAAAAACTTTTTTGAGCTATTTTTTTTAAAATCACATTTCAGCCAAAGTGATATTTTAACAGTTTTTAATGTTTTAATCTTACGCCAAATAACTAAGCCTGTGACTCAGGACAATGACAAATAAAGATCTTAAGCCAATCTCATATAGTAATGTCCTTTTATTTATTAATCAATGCAAAGATGAATGTATTAGATTTGTGTGGCTTAAATCAAGGGCGACTCTGCGTTATTTTGTGTCTCCAAACACTTGTTTCCCCTGAGTCCCTTGTGTCTTTTAAATGTCTCATCACAAGCACACGCACACACTCACGACACTATTTAAAGCACTCTCATTATTGTGTACTCGATGTTCAAGTCAAAACAAAACAAACAGTAATTTGAGGCAACTAGACGATTGGCCCATCGGTGTGTTTCACACTCGGCTGTTTGGCTCGCCGTGGAGCTGTCCACAACGTGCTGGTGCTGAAACGTCCAACCAGGTCCAACCAGGAGCCGCCGGGGACAGATGTGTTTTTCGGTTCAGCTGGTTCTTGAATGGAGTGATGCACCACTCGAATGCCCTGAAGTGACTTATAGCTTCTCTCAGGGCTGATGGATGAAGATGAGGAATAAGAGTGTTTAGCTCATCACAGAGAGAGCTGTTGACTATAACAAGTGTAACGTGCAGCGATGAATAGGCTCCCGTGGAGCGTCGGACCAATATTTTAGTTTACTGAGGCGCAGCTTTAAATGGACAAAGATAATCTGAGCAGCTGTGGAACAAGTGTTTAAACATTTAAATAAAAAAGAATGGTCCTCCCGGGAGAAGTGTTTGCAATTTAAATAAATTGTGTGGCAAAGTTCAACATTTTGGCCAAAGGTGTCACAAAGAGAGCTTTGAAAAGGTCTTAATGGGATGAGTGGTTTTTTTTCCTGGATGGTCGTGTTAAGCTGAAGGTCAGGAGGTCACTCAAACAAAAGCACTTTATGACCAGGGAACAAATGTTCTGATAACCAACCCAGTAATTGTTTCAAATTGTGAATTTTCAAGACGAAAAGAAGGACCGGTTGAATTATCATGGGTCTCACTGCTACAACGAGGAACACTTTCAAGTTCAACATGTTTGTCTGCCGTCTTTTATATCTGCTTTCTACTTTTTCAAGCTAATGTTGTACAAATACCTGTGTAATAATTTAAAGTACACAGGATGTTGGTTCCCATGGAGACCAGAGTTGCAGCCGGGAAAATTAACTTTCAAACTTCCTCTGCAGTTTTACTTTGTCTCATCACGTCTTCTCTCTCCTCGCCACATTGCAGTGTCTCTCTGGGAGTGATGGCGTTGCCACGAGTGCCGCCCTCTCTGTCGCCATGACGATGCCGTTCAGCCCCCTGTCCAGCGACGAGGAGCAACAAAGGATGCTGGGAAATCGGCATCCCTACCCAGGGGGAGAGGAGGAGGAAGAGGAGGAGGAAGAGGAGGAGGAGGAAATGGAAGAAGACGAGCGTGATGTTGACCAGGAGGAGGAGGAGAACGGCGAGCTGGACGGCGAAGAGGAAGACGAGGAGGAGGAGGTGGTCGAGGAAGTCAGGCGGGGCGGCCTATCGCGTGTGGGCAGGGGGGAGGGACACAGGCAGCCAGGTAAACCGACCGGAAGACCCCCCGGGGACAGACAGATCCGGTCAGGAAACCCCGGACACGCCACAAACCCCTATTCGTCCAATCCTGCACCAACGCACCAACCACCGGCCAATCACGTGCAGCAGCAGCCGCAGAGGCGGTTGAAGGAGCGCAACACCGGCACGACGTCATCAGAGGACGCTCACGTTGCCATGATGGTGTTTCGCATCGGCATCCCGGACATCAAGCAAACGGTCAGTGCTTTCACACGTCACACAGACACGGCTGATGATGAGTTCACGAACACCGCGAACGTCCCCAAATATGCAACTCGTAAACGTTTTGTTAGAACATACCTGAAGATCTCGGGGGCCTCAGCGTGACCCTGCACACGATGATGATTGGGCGGGTGGGGCCCATCATAATCTGACCTGAGACTGTTATGACAGGTGGTCAGTTAATTTGAACCCTGCGGCGGTTATAGCCTATTACATCGACTAGATTGTCCTTCTTTGTCACTCTGTTTGTCTTGGTCTCACTGCATCGCCAGCAGAAAACTGAAAGAAACGCAAATATTCGTCAGCAAAGAAGGGTCTGAGAGGGTGGGGGAGACTTTTCAAGGTGACGCCTCTCCAGAGACAAAGACAGGGAGAGACGGAACCAAATGGCATGAGCATTCCCAGGGGGAACGTGCAGGCGATGCTTTGATTTCAAAAACATCACAGGAACGATTCAGAGTCAAAGAGGGACAAGTCGAACATTGTGCCTCTGGCTCAATGTCGCCAAAGAGCTTCTAAATGGTGCGATAAAGCCCTTTTTTGGTGGGACTAGTCTTTCAGGGTGCCATCCAGAATGACGATGGACTGACCTGGCGTCCCTTTCCCAGAAGCGGTCTTACGTCACATCAGCGCACATCAGTCCTCATGGTCCTCGCTGGCAGGAGACGTAGCCGCCTCCGCGCACAGCGGCGCCCGTTCTCCCACTCTTGATGAAGTCGGCGTTCGCTGCCCCATGCGCTCATTTTCTCCATCGCTCACGCTTTTCTGATGAGTGACCCGTTAAAGTGAATCATCTCAATGGTAGCTATGGTTGACGGATGAAGGAGGCGGCGTTGCGAGGGGCCGAGTCCTCGCTCGCAGCCGGATTAACGCTGAACCACGGGGCCTTTGTATTTGACAAACAGGAGGTCATTTTCCTCCTGCGTCCTCTTTTCCATGAAGCCACCCGGGCGTCCGTGAAGTGTTTCGGCTTCACGTATCATCAGCAGAAAACTGGACTGCTAATTAATGGAATGCGTCTGTGAGTGTTTGTGTGCGTGTCTATATTTGATATTTACCATCCAGAGCACTATAAAAGCCTCGCTCAACGCTTCTTCCTCCCGCTTGATTTATTATTGATCTGTGCATGGGTGTTTTCAGCAGTGTGTGTGTGTGTGTGTATCCCCATGTGTGCTTGATCCAGTACTTTTCAAACCATCCATAAATGATTTAACTTTCCCTATTTATTCTAACAAATCGGCATTAATGTTTAATTGTGGAAAGATGGATAAATTGGGATTGCCTGTGATGAGAATGCTCATTCAAGCTCCAGAAAAAAACTCAGATATTGCACAACAGTCACACAAAGACACACAGAGAGAGAGAGACAGAACGGGGCAGAAAGAGAGCGAGTGGATAAAAGCACAAAGACGAGGATAGCGACGGAGGTAAGCGGAGGCGGAGAGAAGCTGATCAAAGTAGACGGGTTGTAGAATCAAGGTAGCTGAGAAAGGCAGTTTAAATGACACGATTGGAAAAGACAGAGTTTATTAGATCCGAGTGCATAAACTGAAACAGACTCAATCAAATAAAGGTGTAAGGAATGAAATCCATACAAACCGGAATAGCCCGTGAAGAAATTGTTGGTTGCTGATTGATATTGTCTTTTCAAGCTGACTTTTGAAGCACTATTTTATGTTAATTACCTGTATCCTTTGATTAAATACCCCGTAAAGCTGTTTTCTACCCAAAATGATTCGAAATCACTTTGAGAAATGAATCTCACAGAAAGGTGTGATTCCTGGCCACGTGCTCCAAACAGTTCTACTACCACTACTACACATTCTCTGGCCTGAACTTACACATCGCACCTTCAGACTAAAAATGTATAACATTTGCACTACAAATTTATTTTGTCAAAAAAATCAAGCCACTCCTGGTCAGTTCCTGCTGTTTCAAGTTCAAAAAGAAAATACAAATTCTAAAATGAAGGACAAGTTCAACAGTGTCTGAATGTTGTTAGTGTAATGTGTACATTTTGCTACTTGATGAACAAGTTTAATCACATTAGTGAGACTGGCAGACGCAGAGGAACCACATTTTTACAAGGAAAGGCACAATAATCTAATTTGGCATTCCAACTGCACAGTATGTTCCATACGTTTTTGTTTGATCCTTTTTAGCTTATTTAAAAAAAAAAGAATGTATACATTAACATACAAAAGCAGTAACGCATGACTGTGTAGACTCCCTAACAAGATGTCCTGACTCAGTTCATATTTCTTTACTCTTCTTCTCTTCTTCTCTCACCGTCGCTCTGACATTTGACTTCTTCTCACTTTCTGTCTCTCGTTCTTTTTTTTTTCTCCCACTGATTCATCCGATGTCCTACTCCTCCTCCTTCACTCGCTGGTGTTGGGTTGTATCATGTTACACTCCCAGTACATTAGGTTTGTTCTACATGTCAGCTAATTCAGCCTCAATAAAATCTAATTGCTCGTTAATTGTGTAGTAATGAGACCGGGGAGTGACTCTACAACGCAAATGCGAATGTTATGAAGTGAGGGGGGAGGATTTTGAGTGACGTACATTAAGTGACTCAAACAAACACTGGGAATGGGGCTTTCTGTTCACGTTTTGGCAGAATAGGGTAATATACGCTATTTTTGCCACTTTCTTGAAAGTACTATGACCAGTAACGTTTAGGTTTGTAAGCCACATCAATCATGTTATTACATGTTATTACAATGCAACTGGTAGTTTCTGTGAGAAAAGTAATACACGTGTTTTTGATCTTTTGCAGGAAACAGAGATGTGAAAACTCTAGAAAGTGCCATGAATCTTTTCATGCTACTAACTTCCTGCACATATACACATATAGCAGATTGAGCAGCGGCTCTCCTTTCTGCATTCATGAAAAACGTTTGTTTTGTTAGGTTAGCGTTAGTTACGCTCCCCTGAAACGCTTCCACGGAGCCCTCAGAGGAAACATCTGGTCTCGGAGGGTCTCCCCTTCGCTGCGCTGAAGCTCTCTGAGCAGATCTGTACGCGTCTCTGGGGCCGCGTGGCCCCGTGAGCCTCAGGGCTTTGTCAGTCGGGATGCCACTGATCTCTGTGTAATATCAGTCAGCTGCATTTGTCAAAAGGAAATTTGGGCCCTTTGCTTTTGTAGGTCAGGCTGTAATGCGGTTGGACGAATATCTTCTCAGGCCCGAAGAGAAAGAAAGATCCAGGTGAAAGATTATCTGCACAGTTGATGTTTTGTCCCATTTTATCTCCTGAAGGTCAGGGACCGTATACTTAGAATACGTGCACCTGGTGGCCACCTTTCGATCAATTTAGCAGGTCAAACGACGTCTATAAATGGAGCTGCATTGAGTCAAGGCGTTTTTTTTTTTACATTTATTTGAAAAACATAGTTACTACTCATTTGGCAGGTGAATATTTTACTTCCTCCGAGTCGTGTTAGTGGATCCGCCCACGAAACCTATAAGGAAACTGGTCCATTAATTCACTTGTGTGCACTCAGCGACAGTCAGATATGTGAATCGCAAAGACTTGAAATGTTCCTTCACAGCGGGACGTCAAGTCAGTTTAGTTTGAGGTTTATTAAACTGTCAAACCTGCGCGTGTGCACTCAAGTTGGCGTTCGCGTGCCGAGCGCATTAAACAGCATGAAACAAATTATGTTCGGCAAACTCTGAAGTACAAGCAGCGGCCCCTCAGGCCGTGTTCGGCTCTCACAAAGTGTTTGGAAACACACACAATCACACACGCGCACGCACACATCAGGGCCGACTTAAGACAGGTGAACTTCTCAGCCTGTCAGCTGTGAAATGGTGACATAGCCGACGTGTGTGTTTGTGAGTGTGTATGTTTATTTAGTGGAGGGGTTGGGGGGGGGCGAGGGGGGGGGTATTATTTCCCCATAGATCTCATTAAAGGCTTCTGGTCCCCCTGCACTTGCAGGAGAAAACCAGAGGGAGAGAGAGAGAGAGAGGGAGGGAGGGAGGGAGGGAAGATGGACACAGCGTGGGTGTGTGTGAGTGGGAAAGTGTGATCACAGCTTCGGGAGACGAGACAGAATTTTGGTTTGCATAATAAAAAAACCCACAAGAGAAACAGAAGGACTTAACGCTGCATTAATATACTACCACATTATACACAAGTTTGTAATAGATAACTGTAGCTTTAGTTTTTAGCTCCAATGACCCTTTTTTAAAGCTGAAGGCAACAATGATGTGCATGTTTATGTCGACGAGTTGGCAAGCTGGCCGTTGAATTAAATGATGGATTTCATGCATTCTATATTCCAACAGCAGACTTAAGTTCTACAGAACGCTGACATGGGCCTCGTCACTTGGTGGCTTTCATCAGGCCCGGGATTTAAATCTGTCACCTCACAAGAGCCTAATATTTTATTATCTACGTATCTGTGTTTATTATATACGCCGACCATTCGGGTTACTGGGAATAAACACTGATGCATTTGTTTTTCAATCAATAAATAAAAAACGTTGACATTTAGGTCATTTACGTTTTGGCGACGTACAGGAGTATTTATTATAGCCCTTTATTTTAGTCAAATTTGCAATAGCACAGTGTAAAAATATTCAATTACAAGTAAAAGTTGTACATTCAGAATTGTATTTTACTGAAATGTGTTGTTGCCTGGTTTCCAACACAATTGATCCAATAGAGAGGCTTATTATATAAACTATTCCACATACAAAGAATGGAAAAGAGTTGCGCTGTATTATGGACTAACGCTCAACCACCACGCACCATTCAAGGTTTAAAACAAGTTGCACGGGTGTCTATGAATATATAGCCTTGATTTTAAATAAACACAGTCTATTGCATTACTACAATAAGTAGTAGTGAGTGAGACTGTGGGAAAACTGCACAGAATCATGTAGTATTGTGAAGAACCTTGTGAATCTGTGATGAGCCCTAATTGGCCAATTTGAAGCTGTAGGATCAATCGTGTTCCTGTATGCATCCAGATCAATAAGCATCTTGCTTACCTCGGTAAAATCTCAACTATCTGAAACTCCTCAGGACAAAAGCAAAGTCATCACACTCTTGGCCAGAATCATCAGCGTTTGTGGTTTAAAGATTGAATATGTGGGAATATTCCTGCAGCAAGATAACTGAATCCTTAACATTCATGATATCCAGCTGTGATTGTGATTAACTTGAGATCATTTGCCTCCATCCTTCATGGGGACCGTGAGTGCAGTGTGTAGTTAAACGTGTGCATCTTTGCGTGTTGTTGTGAATCATAATATAAAAGAAACAGACAGAAACCGATCCTCTTCCTCTGATTCTCTTTTGCTGTCATTGTCATAGTCTTTGCCTCCTTTTTACTCCACTCTGGTTCACCCTGCAGCTGTAACACACACACACACACACACACACACACACACACACACACACACACACACACACACACACACTTACAAAAATCCATCCAATCTAATGCACACAGGCTTACACACGAGCACATGCACACCCTTCCAGTACCCCATCTCCTAGGGAACACAGGGATGTCTCCTAGGCAACAAGCTGCTTGCTCCACTAATGAACCGGTTGCCGTGGCGACCGGGTTGGCTGTGCGGGAACGGAGACACTGAATAAAATAGAGGGAGAAATGTTACTCCTCTGCAAAAAGACCCACCTATGCAGGGTTTTTTATCTCTGGCAAATACACACACGCCTACACACACACACACACACACACACACACACACACACACTACGTGTCTAGTATGTGTAAGGGATTAAGATGACAAGAGTCTTCTGGGTTCTTATTAGACTTACTGGTCATGCAGCAATGCAGTAAGAGGTTGGGATCCTTGCAGCTGCATCAGCCTGCTGCTGCCTGAAGGTCAGAGAACAACCCAACTCCACTCTGGGCAATGAGAGAGAGAGAGAGAGAGAGAGAGGGGCGCCAAAAACCCTCTGTCAGCCATCTGCGTAGTGAGTGAAGTGATCCGTTGTGCATTTGACCCCAGCGGAGACACTAAAAGCTGCACCAAATTGCCCGTTTAAACCCTTTGTGCCTGACGGTGGAACCACCAACTTCGCTCTGAGGCTGTCGCCCCCTTTTGACCCACCGGGGGAACAACCCCGGCGCGCAGCCGGCATCGGCGTTGTGTCTGAGGCAGTGGAAAGATGAATTCAGCACCAGACTACTGCCTGCTTTGCAAAGATATCGTGGGGGGGGGGATTGTGTACCCGACTGATGTGGCTGGTGGAGAGTTACACGGCCGGCACCACCTGCAAAGTTATATTTAGAAAGCAATGAATACTTTTACCTCTCGGGTCCTTGAGTTATTTGATTGAAACCACCTGATGCGTTCGTGGAGTAAATGTGTTTGAGAACAGAGCGTTTGCCGGTTCAAGTGCCCCTTGTTGAATTTTGCAACAGCTGTTTCTTAGTTCAGATGAACAAAAAACGATCAGGCGAGTCTGGCTGCTGCCTCTGTGATCTAAACACTTTTATTCCTTTACTCGTTCCAGTTAACCAATTCCCCATGAACTCAAAGCTGATCTGTGTCTCCTCCCCTCCCTCCGGCAGAAATGTTTGCGGTTCAACCCGGACGCCACGGTGTGGAAGGCCAAGCAGCAGGTGCTCTGCTCCCTGACCGAATCTCTGCGGGACGTCCTGAACTACGGTCTGTTCCAGCCCGCCACGGACGGCCATGACGCCATGTTCCTGGAGGAGGAGAGGCTGCTCAGAGACTACCCGCAGTCCTTTGAGAAAGGGGTGCCATATCTGGAGGTGCTATTCCAGTCTTGATTTAACGCAGTTTTAAGACGTAATAGAGAAATGATGTCGGCTGCGTGTTCTCATGTCACTTTCATTCAGTGACTGATTGAAGTCAGTCTGATGGGACGGCAAACCACCTAAAGTTCCTCTGCACAATAAATCTGCAGAGCCCATTTTATGTATCTAGGCCACAAAGAGAAGAAGAGATTTAAGGACAAATGGCCTCCGTGTGAAGATTAACTCTTCGTTTATTTCCCTCCTCCGTTCTTCAGTTTCGATACAAAACCAGGGTGTACAAACAGACCAATCTGGATGAGAAGCAACTGGCCAAGCTGCACACTAAGGCAAGACACTTATTTGTCCTGAAGTAGGGTTTCAAATGCATGTTTCAATCACATAAATATTCCTGTACACAGTAGTTGTACTTGTGCATGTGGATATTTTCACTTCATTAATGCTTCCATTGCTTGCACACACGTTCACAGACGGAGGACTTCCCTCTAATAACGCTGCTGGTTTCTCTCTGCATGCAGGCCAGCCTGAAGAAATTCATGGATTATATTCAAACCAGCGCTGTGGACAAGATGGCCAAGTTCTTAGAGAAAGGCCTCGATCCCAACTACCAGGATGCCGACACCGGCGGTAACGAGGCCTTTTCACCCCAACCGTCCTCCCTGTCCACCACCCATCCGTCATCTATCCATCCGTCCATCGTAATTACAGACTGCGCTCGCGTCGCGGTCATTTGAAAGTACCACAAACACGTGGTGTCTTTTCTCAGAGCCTGTTATAGCGCTCGGGTGACGGCTCATTTTCAGCCTGGTTCGCGCTGCTCCGTGTTGCTCCAGCCGCCGTGGGAGCAAAGTGTCACCACACCAAACGCGGCGCGCCGCCACGGGCGTGAAACGCACTTCCGCTCCAGAACACCGGGCGGCAACAGAAAGAGGCCCGACGATACCGACGCACTGACATGCTCCGTGCTCCACGCGCGGAAAAGGTGCAGCGTGCACACGCAGCGCCTGGATGCTACATGGGGCGGTTGTTGCTTTGGACATCGGATGGGATAGCAAGGTCATTTAGAATGACGGCCTGTGCAGAGAGGCGATCAAAAGACTGCATGTAGAAACCTTTTCAGACGTGTGACCTCTCTGCCACACTGAAAGGTTTCCTCACGCTCTTCCACACTGAGAGCATTTAACAGGACGTAAAATAATTCCATGTCCGTGCTGTCAGCTGGTGTTCACTTTGCAATGGGCCTTCCCTGAGTTGTCCCGGCACAGCAACTTCACAGGGGCGGCAGTCAAAACGTTCTTCCAAATCGTCTTTAATTGAGCTGTACAGAGAGATTAAAGCAGACTCCCCAAACCCTGAGAACACCGAGAACACACACTTAAGTGTGTTAAGGGATATAACGACAAGGCAGCAGGTGTTGAAGAGTATTAACACCAAGCAAAGAGTAGTAAACATTGAAATATGTTGTTAAAACACAAATGTATACTTTTTGCATATATATGTATTTATTTTTTATAGTCATTAAACGTTGTACTTCCATCTGTTCTACTTGTTATGTTGTCTTTGTTTTTTACTTTTTGTATTTCATGTTTATTCGTGTTCATGCAGAGCCAGCGTCATTAAATACTTTGACTTTTGCGTCTTTCTGACCATTAAACACTGTGTGTGTGTGTGTGTCTGCCAGAGACTGCCCTGTCCTTGGCGGTGCAGTGTGAGCCGGGTGGAGGTGAGGCCATCCGCGTCCTGGTGGAGGGAGGTGCTCACATTGACTTCCGCGCCAAAGACGGACTCACGCCTGTGCACAAAGCTGTGCGGGGCCACCGCCATACCGCCCTTCTGGTAAACATGTTGAACCCTCTGTCACCGAATGGACCGGCAAGAGGGAAACGTGCCCTGAGACTGATGCAGTGACATCTTTATTCTATTTATTTGTGTCTTATTCTATCCAACCAAAGAGAAAAACGTTCTGATTCATTCAAAGGTTTGTAGCCGATTTTATGCGTTTGCCCAGAGCTCCCGTATCTCAGGACAGGATCGGTAGAAGGGAAACTCTTTCAGAGGGAAGTAATTGCTTGTCCACATTTTCCACAAAGGAAAGAAACATCTGCTAAACTGCACAAAGATTTCCTGTAGACTCTGATTTAATACTTAACGCCTGAGGTGTTGCACGACCCTCTCTGAACTCCTGGCTGAATATTCTTCAGCTTCAAGTTGGAAACCACAGTCACATATTTCTCCTCGATGCCTTTTTATTTGAATGTTGTCAGCTGATAAGAGACACGATTGTTTTATGGTACAGCAATGCTTTATCATCATCCTTAGTACCAGCAGAACACCGAGTTGACCCTCCCCTGTCTCTGTCTCTCTGCAGGTCCTTTTGTCCCTGGGTGCGTCTCCGGACTATAAGGACCGGCGAGGGCTGACGCCGCTCTACCACACTGTGCTGACAGGGGGCGACACCTCCTGCTGCGAAACACTGCTTTACCACCACGCCAAACTAGGCATCAGGGACGAGAACGGCTGGGACGAGACACATCAGGTGTGCTTTTTTCTTTTCCTTCGGATTTCGGACGAAAACAATTAAAGCGGATATGAATACAAACGGTATTCAATTGGATTTCTCACCAAAACGTATAAACTCTAAAGGGGACTGTGGCCCAATTTTGTGTCTCTAAGTGTGCACACGTCCTGTCTGTAATGCCCCCGTGTCCTCTGTGTTCCAGCGTCTGTGTATGTGCTGCCTCTGTGTCTACGTCAACAAAAACAGAAACATTCATGCCATGAAACACTCCCGCCTCCCTCCATTCATCTCGGACACCTTTCACCCTTCATCCCACCCGCCTTGCTTCTGTGGCAGTGAGGTGGACGGGACGAATCGAGCCTCCTCCTCCTCCTCCTCCTCCTCCTCCTCGGTGTCGTCCTCAGCGCTTCATCAGGGTCTCCTCAGCGCTCGTGACCTCCATCTTATTCTGTCTCTGCGTGCGTGTTGAGTGGGATACGACTCATAAATCACACTGATCATTTTCTTTGGGTTGGATCCACCACAAGCTGTTTTGAGGTTGAACGTTTTCAGTTTAATTTCCATGAATTGTAAATAATGCTGGAGCAACGAGCAGAGCCCAGCGGTGTTTCACTTTAAGGCTTTTCCCCGTGAAAGAAAACGATGGATGGGATTTTCTATGCTCTGTGGCAGCGTTAAACAGAAATGCTCTTGCCATGATTACCTGTTGTTTAGTACGTGTTACCCACACACTGATTTACATCCATCACATCCGCTTATTGACTTACCGGAGGCTCATCCTGTCCTGGCGTGTGAAGCTCCCGGCTCCTATAATATCAGTGTTTAATGTGGCCACAAGAACATAAACTGACTGAATAATGTGGTGTCACTGTGTCCATTCGCTGATGGCTGTGCCGTCGTTATCATTAGACGTCACTCGGTATTGGTGTTCAATGGGGTTCAATCCATTCAGATAAAATGTGGACTCACCTAACGGCTGTCCCCTTGT